CGAAAGCCACTAATCTGCTACAAATGCAAAAAGAAAGGGCACATCGCGATAAACTGTAAGGAAAAGTTTGCTTTCGCAACAATCCGAGAATCGGAAAAGAACTTGTGATTGTTGGAGCCGTATCTCGAAGAAATTAGTGTGAATGCGAATACGTGTCAAGCACTTCAAGACTGAGTGGCAACCAAGGACGTTGTCCATCCTTAATTGGTGTCTCCGGGTGACCTTACAGGAGAATTCGCATGGATCAGGCAAGTCGCCGAGGAGCAGAGTGCTTGCTTACCAATCGCTACGTTTGTCTTTGAAGGCCTGTTTGGTAAGCTTAGCACCGAAGCGGCTGTGTCTGCCGCGCTTCCCGATTGTTTTCCTTATCTTTTCTCTAACATCTCGCAGCAGCTTCTCAAAGAGCAAGAGCAGGGTAAATCGTTTTTCTCCAACTTAGCATTCATGGCCCTCACGCGATCGCAAGCGCAGAAGCTTTCGCAGGAGCTTGATCTTGTTCAATGTGGTGAATCATCAAGTGACCTTGGCGGTGAGTCGACGGAACCTCAGAGAGAAAATTTTTTGTGTGAGTCATGTGAGCAGTCACTCGAGCGGCCCGTCGCCGAAGCGACTGGCGCGGTTTCCGTAGCAGGGGGAGGCAAGATGGCGCCATTGAGTCAGAGTGAGAGGGGCGCAACGCTCTTGCCTGTAGCGGAAAGTTGGAGTAAGCTGTTGAGGGTTGATAGAGAAACACTCATTCGAGAGCAGCGTGAGGACCTCTCGAATAAAGCGCTAATGGAAAGCGTAAACTTGGGAAAAAAGAAAAAGAATGTTTGTTTTTTGAGAAAGCAGGGCTTCTGTATCGGAGCTACACAAATGCGCAAGGTCGCAAGTATGAACAGCTCTTGGTGCCACAAAAGTACCGTCGCCAACTATTAGAACTGGCGCATGAAAACGCGTGGGCTTAGCATCTCAGCATAAAAAAGACCAAGGCTAGAGTATCCCTTGAGTTTTATTGGCCGAAATGCTGGAAAGATATCGAAGACTTTGTACGCTCATGCAACATTTGTCAGAGAGCGGGGAAATCCACGGACAAGTGGAAGGCACTCTTGAAGTTTGTGCCAATTATCACAGAACCTTTTCGGCGCCTAGTAGTTGATATCGTCGGGCCATTTCCCGAGTCAAGGCAAGGTTGTCGGTTTATACTGACGGCTGTCTGTGTAGCCACAAAATGTCTGGAAGCCATACCACTTAAGGAGCTCAATTCCCCTCATGTCGTGGATGCACTGCTATATATATTTGCACGCGTCGGATTTCTTTTTGAAATCCAATGCGACGATGGTAGTGTATTCACCAGCTGCCTTTCTTCTACCTTTATGGATAAACGTGGAATAAAAGTAGTGCACAGCTCGATCCATCACCCGCAATCTAATTTGGTAGAGCGTATGCATTCCGTTCTGAAACGGATACTGAGAGCTCTTCACTACGAGCACAAATGCGACTGAGAAGCGTGTATTCCTCCCGCTATGTTCGCTTTGAGATCAACTCCTCATGAGAGTACTGCTTTTAGACTTGCTGATATTTTGTATGGCAGGAGTTTCAGAACACCATTGTGAATGCTGCGCGAGTCCTGGGAGGGATTCGAGGAGGACCCTAATGTAGTTGCTTAGTTCTAGACCTCCTTCAGAGGCTTGGGAATACGAAAGATCTTGTGTAAGGCCACGTGAAAGCTGCAGAAGTGTTGTCGAAGGAGTACTACGACAAATCGGCGAAGGAGCGTGCTTTTGAAGTAGGAAGTCAGGTAATGCTGCTGCGGCCGTCCAAAAAGAACAATCTTGAGGTTCATTTGAAGGGCCTGCCAAAGTAATATCGAAGCTTTCTGCTACCAATTATGAAGTGAAATTAGGAAGGCGGCCGAACAAAATTAACCACAGTATTTTGGTGAAACCATACGTTCAATGTCAAGCGGTCGTAAATCTGCTGTCGAATGCTTCCGAGGAAGAGGGAGCAAAAATTTTGAGTTCTCGTGATGTCATCGAAAAGGGATCAGGTAATCTTGGAGCAGTTGAACCTAGAGCCTAGGTTAAGTGAAGTCCAGAAGGAGGAGCTGAGAAGGATTGTTTCCGAGTTTGAAGACGTGTTTGCAGACCCTCCCGGAAACATGACGGTGATCGAACGCGATATCGAGCTAAATTGTGAGGAGCCAACTTTATGTTGTATTCTATTTCGTTACGTTGTTGTACATGTAAAAATGTGAGTTCTCATTTTAAGAGTATTGTGTCCCACATGTCCCTCTTGATGTAGAGGGAATGAAAGTCTGATAGACACGCAGCCAGGCATATGTTGTAAAATACTTTGTCTGGTGTTGTGTCGGGTGACCGAGGGCACTTGCTTGTCTCGTGTGTTGTCTGTTGTCGAACCGTTCTTGACAAGTTGCAGAACCATCGACAAGTGCTGAAACCAAAGATCGTCAGAAGAGACGAGCGAAGCTGGCCGACAAGTTGTGGCGACAAGCCAGTGTAGCTGGGATCCGTCCTCAAGAATGGGGTGTGTTCCCGGAACGGAGTCTGGAGCGGCATTCTCCCCATGACCCTGGAGGCGAACTTCGAGGGACCTGGCGAACGAGAGTGCCTGATATCCGAGCCACGTGGGAGTAGCTCGTCTTCCCGGCGCATTGTCTGGCGGCGGGGGTGCTGTTATGCCTGCGAGTCGACACCGAAAGTCGATGCCTCTGAAAAGGGCAATCTGTGTCAAGGCCAGTACGCGAGCCCGCCTGACGCGAACATCTCAAACGGCGTCATCACGCGGCGGCGCCGATCTGTCCCGCAATGCACATCGAGCTCCCTCAGCCCACGAGCCCGTCAAAGCAATCGGCGCCTTCCTGTCTGGCGAGTCTGACGCAATGCGTGGCGACGTCACTCGTCTTTGGCTGCAACCGCGCGCAGCGGCTCCGGATTTGATGAGAATGACGTGGCCCAGCGGCGACCCCATTGGAGGATTCTGACCTCGCGACCAGGGGTGCTTCTGGTTGGACATTTAGTTACTCAAAGAATCCACCCAGTGCATATAAAAAAAGCCCTGCGGCGCGTCGCGAGCAGTAGAGGTATGTGTCAGAGAAGAGAGCTCGGCTCTTTCAGTCTCTAAACTGTCGGCCCCAATGCCAAATTTGTAACGCCTCTGTATATATGCTGTACGTAAACCTTGTTTAACTCACCGTCGTGTCGTCCGCTCGTCTATCAGTTCTGTGCAGAAGCAGTCACGAGCTGAGAAACCTACGCTATCAAACGGCTGGTGACATTCCCGGTGGAGTTAGAGGCAGTGGCGCCTTCGGGTCCGTGTTGGCGTCGCCGTCTTTCGTAACAGTGGTGGAAGCAGCGAGATTCGTGGCGCCCTTCGTAACGTCGTTGGAGGCGCGCTTCGTAACAGCACACGCACCGCGTCACGTTAAAATGTATTGGCGCCTTCACTGTGGCATGTAGTCAAGTTCTCACATGACAAGTATCTCATGATTATTGCTTTTGCACCAATCACATGCCTTTGAAATCTATTGATGTCACGTAATACCCCTAACTTAGCGTGAACCAAAATATTATGGGAGAGTAAGATGGTTTGACGAATAAGATGCGGTGGTTAAGACATGAATAATATCACAATCCCGTTGCGTACGTTGTCAAGCATTTCCCTTCAGACAGTGGCACATACCCACAGATGGGTACGTGCCACTGGTGTGCGGGTATGTGCCACAGGTGATTGACACTTAGTATCTACCAAGGAATGACGAGAACACACATGGGCAATGTTAACGTGTGAACGTTAGGAAACAGCCGACAGTGGTATTGTTGACCTGACGAACGCAAAGAATAAATGTCAAGGTCCCAGCTGGAATTGAACCCAAGCATTCTGCGGGGCAATAAAGCAGTTTACCACAGAGCTGTGCCAGGTATTGGAACTACTTTTCAAATAGACGGTAATCTTCGTTAAGCATCAATGGTAGATGCAGTGCTGCCTACCCAATTTCATAAAAATTACATATGTACTCTTTTATTACAGCCGACACGTCGTGTTAACGTCAGTTGTGGTTAGTTGTCATGATCTGAAGTTGATTTATGTAGCAGTGCCCAAGGCTAGCAACCTCTCGAGCATAAGTGCTTCATATCAGTTTCTCGTGTTGCTATTACGTATGCTCTAGTTGGCATCATTGCGCAAGTGCAAACAACTGGTTATATGAACATCTGCAAGTCTTCAACATGTGTATATGCGGGCAACATTTGTACGTATTCTTAGACTCATTCATGACGTGTCTCTCAATTAAAAAATTGCAGCATGGTAAGCTTCCCTCAACATGCTTCGCATAACGTTGTTGCCGAGGTACGTGGTATCTGTCGAATTTTTTCAAGCTTTAGGAGACACGTAGGGCTCTTCAAAGGAGATTTTACCCGCTAGTATTTTTATAAAATTTTTCGTTTCTTTGTGGTGAAATTAGAAATAAGTAACAAGTAAAAGCGAATAAAAATGAAAATTTTGTAATATTAGAAAACAAATGCGTTTTCAAAAAACTTGCTACGCCCCAAAACTATGCCTTCATTATCACGGCACTTTCAGATGCAAGGGCTGGCCGAAATAGTTCGGGAGCTATTGGATATCGCGAAAAAGTCTGGTGGTACTCTGGTTAAGTACTCAGAAAAAAGCACTTTTTCTCATCTGCCTTTGTCTTCTCATCAGGTGACCGTAGAAAGTAGTGACGGTAGCCCCCCACCTAATTGCCCGTGCAATGCACTTATCTGGTCGAAGGGCTTATTTACATACACACACATATGGAGCACCACTGTCAATCTGTCGAAGTGTAGCTATGAAAACAAACATTGCTTTGTTAGTTCGAGTGTAATTGAAGTGCTACACAAAGATTATCGATTCTATCACATGACTGAAACATTTTTATCGCCACCTTTCATTTCCTTCAATAGGTATTTAGGCTTTGTTTACAGCGTGTTTCAGCTGAAATATAAATAAGTGATGGTCACCTCTGGGTTTTCAAAGGCGATGTCGTTGTACTCGCATGGGTCCCTCTCTATGTCGTAGAGGCAGGGTGTGACCGTTGAATCACACGAGGCCTTGCTTGAGTTTTGCTTCCCACAGTTCACGGACGTTGAGTAGACACCACCTCCTTCACCGCAGTTCGGACTAAAACCCCGAATGTTAAGAATCTGCATAAAATATAAAAAAGCCGTCTCTTTGATATTCATAGTGTGAGAGGCAAAGCAGAATATACAACTTCAGTCTGATTTTTGAGGCAAAGTTAGGAAACGAAGAAACTGACCATTATTTCAATTGTCGAGGTTTCACGTCTTAAAACCTTCACTTCAGGTTGACGGACGCCGCCGTGGAAAGCTCGCGAAACTTGTAGAGGGTACAAGGCTGGTTCTTTTGTAGCGTTAAGAATTATTCCTTGCAAAGTCTGCCTCCCTGTCTCATTTGTTCCCCTATACCACGCATCATTTGCATTGCATCTAGCTTTGGTACTTATGGCTTCTCACCCGAGTTTCATTATTCTTCCCGTAGAGCCTGATAACGCAGTTGATTTGAGTACATACAGTTTCTACCTCACAGCAGCCGAGATAACTACAAGACACAGTTTGACAGGACACTTCATTGGCATTTTGCACAGAAAACCGTATTCCAAGAAAATATAGGTACTGCCTTACCTTGTAGGTGATGCTTTCAATGCAGCTTTGATGGGCCAGTTTAGCTTCTTCTGCTGCCGATAGCCTGTTTCCGGGTATGTCCAACCATTCAGACGTACCATCAGGAAACGCTCCGTAGACAAGCTTGTACGAATCCTGAATAATTGCCTCATTGCCCTCGATGGGATCAATGTTCAACAGTACCTCGCTGCGAGGCAGATTGGTGAGAGGATCAGTTATGGACCGCAGGTGGCTTACACCATCGATTCCACCAAGCTTGGACGGATCTCCTCCTGTGGAGAGGAATATACCTTATTTAGGGCTGTTCTTGTCCCCCAGAGCCATATAATTTTCTGAGAATACTTCAAGGATAACTGTTTAATTCTCCTAGGAGCAACTGTGACACTTTAGTTACACTTAATGTAGTGCATGCTGTAGGCGCACACATCTGCCCTGTTTGTGTGCATGCTCGGGTACAACTTCTAGTTCATTATAGATGCAACTATATTTGTGACAGACCTTCGTTAATATATTTTGTCAAGGGACAGCTTGCCGTGCTACAAAGCCCGATATATTCACGAGTATAGAACTGTGTGTGCCTCCGGCATAGCCGTTCAAATGACATCCAGTGTGTGAAGAACCCGACGTTGTTTTCGTAGACTGAACTTTTGAGTGGCCCTGTTGGCCTAAAATGCTCGCTTTGTGCGACCTAAGCTAGATTCAACGTAATCAAAGAAATATTCTAAACTAAAATATAAAGCTCCATAAATAGTCGTTGCTTTTTCTAAAGAGAGGACACTGGCGACTACACGCACAGCAATGATCTGAATTAGCCTTTATATTCACGTTACTGCCAGATGACAATATATATATATATATATATATATATATATATATATATATATATAGATGCGAAATGTACTTAGTTCCGATATGAATACAGAGAACGCCATGAAATGTTACGTATTCTGTGCGTTTTACTCTTACCTGCCATCTCGTATAGGGTCGGTAGCCAGTCTGTAGCGTGAAAAATGCGGTCATATTGAGATCCTCTTCCGAGCCACAGTGGCTCCGCAGTCCATACGAACCCGGGCACTCGTACGCCACCCTCCCAGAGGGTAGATTTTTCTCCCCGCAGAGGATATGATGACGCGCCGTAGGTGCCCCAAAATGTTGCGGCGGCACCATTGTCGGAGCTGAATGACAGGAACGTGTTGTTTAGCATTCCTGCCTCATGAAGAGCCTCGAAAATTTTCCCGATAGACTTGTCGAGCGCTGACACCATACCTGTATGTGAAATTCACAAATTGTTATGTATTACTTGGGACACTTCCATTCCTAGGATTTGGGTACATGTCTAAGCGTCGCCAATTCTGGGTGGCAACAAGGGCTTAATAACTGATATGCACTCAAAAAATTGCAGTATCCAGGGAATAGTTGTACTTGCCAGGTGTGGCATATAAGGCTTCGAAATGATATTACACAATAATGTAAGTTTTACACGCATACATGGTGGTACACTAACAATCAACTCATCAGCACTCCTACGAGTCATTAAACTATGGAATAACCGGCCAGACAACATAGCTTCATTATCTAACCCTGACGCATATCACCACCAACTAATTGCTCATTTCCACTGAAGTCGTTTCTTGTTCATTAGTAAAAAGCACATTTCTGATACACGTGTATGCAATGTATATATGTGTATTGTACCACTTTTACGTATACATCATGTATGTATTCACTATGTATTAGACATTATGAACTTTTCATTTAGGAAGTGTTCAAATTTATGCGTTGTTTCCTAGCGGTGTTTCATTCCTTTCCATGTTTTGGTCGTTCAAGTAATGTTAGAGTCCCCCTTACAAAATGCCCAAAAGACTTGTAAGAAATTTCAAATAAAAATACAAAGAATGCTGATGGAGCCAACGTTTTGACATTGAAATTATCTTCGTCAAGGCAACGCTGTTGCCTTAACCGCTTCAAGCTTCTCCAGTCTTGTCGGCTTCAGTTTCGTTTGGAAATCAAGTTGTGTAAGAAAACCAGGCGCACAATCATAACGAACCTGACTGAGTCAAATACGACTTGTCCTACAAGCAATTATTGATAATTTTCGCATTGGTTCAGACATTCTGCGTTCAACGTTTGCTCATAATTTCTGTATGACAGTTGTAAATTAAAGCTGCTCTACTTACTAACATTTTCATGCTACGTGTGACTGTTTTTTACTACAAAACGTGCAAAAAAATTCTTTTATTTTTGCTGATCAAGTTTTGTAAATAAGAAATTAGTCAGCTTATTTTCCGCCCCTTCATAAAACATAAACAATATAAAAGAAGATCAATACAAATTCATGGCTGCAATGTCCAAGTGGCCAGCGGACCTGAAAGAAGGCACGAGCCCAATTCGCTTGCATGCGAACTGAGAAAAGACCGCTTCCATGGCAACTCTCCTCCTCTCGATTTTTCGACCTTCTCCTCTATTTGGGAACCTTAGTAGTGGCGTCATGAAAGAAATGTTTTGTTCGTGATTTATTCCTTGTAGGATGCCCGGCAACCGCCAGTGACAATTGGGGCCCTGCCGTTGCCGAAAGCGAATGCATGGGAGGCATAGGGAGTTTCCACCCAATGCTGCTGTTGCACAGCTTTTTCTTCTTTCTCCTTTAATTTTCTTAGATTTTTGTTCTAAATAAGAGAAATTGTAAAATAAACTGAAACCCTGAAGTGCTGTAATTTTACTAAGATATTGAATAATTCTCTTGTGTATAGAATCAGGAGTCGTATTTTGTAACTAAGTTCTTTCGTCATAATTGTTTTTTTTACCTATTTTCTATTCCCTTACGGCAGGCTACAACTATCGCGTACGGGAGATGGCAATACGTGTACTTGTCCTGAAAACCTTATTTTGGATTAAACATTGAGCCACGGACATTACACTGTAGAAAAAGAAAGATTCAAGAAATTGTTGGGCATCGTACTGCACAAATCGTCGCGATGGTGAATTCAAATTGATTAGTTTATTTCTGTTACGACTTACAATTAAAATAAATGGTGGATATTTTGAAAACGATTGCCATTCACTTGTCCTAATGACCGGCCGAGTGAAGGAGTAAATCACAAATAAGAAAACAGACAGGTACATCCACCTGTGAAGCGAATCAAAAATTATTTTCATATTTTTCTGAAATACGCTAAACTTCAATATATTATAATCAATCTCTAAAGAATCGTGGGGTACCGCTGCTGAATAAAATATAAGGTTGTGCACAGGGTGATAGGTGGCCAGTGGAAGCGGCTCGACAGCGGCTGCGTAAAGACAGGGCGCAAAAAAAATCCTTCTTCGTGTACTTGTCTCAACTACTTTATTAACTGCGTTTCCTTGAGGGCCTAAAGTGGCTGCAGGCATTTTATTTGTCTCTTCAATAAGATAACAAATGACTATACCAGCGTAAAATGATTAAATTAAACAGCGGGGTGCACGAGCATAAGTATTTTTTATCTCCACATAGACAGCTGCGGTTAAGGGAACATTTTATCGACAATAGAAGAACGTTTAGATTTGTAATTGAAAACAATTTCATAAATTATCACGTCCATAAAAACAACCAATTGCAGACTAAAGCTGGATTGTTTTTTTTGTCCAGTGGCCGTGGCTGCGCATTCACATGCCTCTGCTGAGCCGATGGTGCCGATTCGCCTGTCTTTTGCGCTCGGCCTGCGTCGATACTTTCGTAGCTTAGGGTGACCTCACATTCGCCAGCGTTTATACTTGGCGACAACATTGCTTGGCTTTGGAGCAAACGGTACAGAGCTCAATCGCGTGCATCCTACAGCCAGTAAAGGTAGGTACAAGGTAGCACGCGTTTTTTCAACGTGATGTACAAATGTTGCTGTTTTATTTTCTACGTGGAGGTATTTGAGATAGGACGCAGCTCACACGAGTAAAATATTCGTATGTATTTTAATATATGTGTAGTGACTCTTTGTTTTTGAACCCTTGAGAAAGTCCCGCCTTTCTACGGGCACCTCAAACGCTAAGGGGCGTCTGCGTCTATATGAAACTCTCCTGGTGCGCACCCGTCACTTTTGCACAGCGTTACGAGACGGGCGCCAAAACGGACTACTTCGCGTAAGGCGACATATGCAGAAGTTTCGCCTCCGTAGCTTTCTCCCAAGTGCCAACAAAAGTTTCCGATTAGTAAAGCCTCACATTTTCACTTTCATTTTCTGCGTCCTGGCCATGGCGTTTGGAACTACAAGTTAGCCCTTCAGCGACACAGGCGTCCACGAGAAAGCGTTCACTTGTGTTCGAAATGTGCAACTTGCTTGGCGCCCATGGTGCGCAAAGAAACTTCCACTGGCGATGCAGAGGCACACACTGTGAACCGGTTTTCCGGTTGACTTACCTATAGAACCTGAAGCGCCGCTTTTGACCTATTTTTAAGTGTGAATGCACTTTATAAGCGACCCCAAACCATCCACTGCCGTCGGCGGCGTCCGCTGTCTTCTCTCTATCTCTAAAAGAAAGAAGACTTGAGGGCCGCAGTGCGACGCTCTACCGAATAAACCACGGACGCGACGTCGATATCGGTGTCAGTAACGCGCCTTATATCTTTAACGCCGCTGCGCGCGTTCCTCTCCCCCTTCGCTCGCTCCTCCGCTCTCCTCGCTCGCTGCAACTGCACGCGCACCCCTCTCTCTCGCGCGCCTGCCTTCTCTCTCAGTCTCCCGTCGAGAGCGGGTCGTGCGATGAATGTCCCTGAGGCAACGCTACCATCAACAACGAATGCAGTACAACCGAATGCCAGCACTTCACCCGTCGTTGGAGGTGACGGTACCGCGGTGGTTTCGCCGACGTTGGAAGACAAGGCGGCGCTGCGGAGGGCTCGTGAGACCGAACGTAAGCGGGCGAAGCGTGCAGCGGATGCCGAACTGCGTGCTCGCGAGGCCGAGTGCAAGCGGGCGAAGAGTGCAGCGGATGCCGAACTGCGCGCTCGCGAGGCCTAGGACAAGCGGATGAAGCGTGCAGCGGATGGTGAACTGCGCGCTCGCGAGGCCGAGATGAGGCGCCCAAGAAGCGGAACGACAACGCAAGCGTCAGACGGAGAAGGGCGATGAAGGCCGGCGTCAAGACGCCACTCGCAATCGTCAACGGCGAGTGGACGTTCCCGAAGTCGTTCGAGCCAATGAACGTGCCGCGCGGGAGAGGGTGCGAGCCCTGGACTGTCCGGATGCGCGTTTGAAACGCGACTTTGTGGATCGCAGCTTCGGTCACAGCTGCGCCGTGTGTGACCGGCTGTGGTTCGATAACAACCTGAGCTGCATTTCCGGCGTGAGGAACGAGACCAACAGGTTGAACGCGTTGCGGGTTCTTTGGAACGAGTTCGGAAGACGGTCGGGCGAACACCGATGCGACGACATGGATGCGCAAGACCCGCAGCTGGCTCCCTTCGGTGCGTTCCAGGTGTGTGCGTCTTGCCGAGAGTCCCTGCTAGCCGGGCGGGTTCCGCCGTTGAGCAAGAGTCACGGCTACGCGTACCCGCCTCGTCCCGCGGACCTCCCCGATCTGAACCCGGTGAAAGAGAGCCTCATCTCGCCTCGACTCCCCTTCATGAGCATCAGGCGGCTCACGCGGGGCAACGGTCAGTACGGCATTAAGGGACAGATCGTGAACGTGCCCATCGACGTTCCGAGCGTGGTGGAGTGTCTTTCGCGGCTGGTTCCCAACGGATTTTAACTTTACTCCCCCTCATAGCATCACCCCGTGCATTCGCACTTAACCATGCTCACCCTCGTTTTTGTGGGCGAGGCTTCCTAAGCCGTGGGTCGTGCGTCCGCGATGTATGTAGTAGCAATAGTAGTCGTCGTAGTAGTCAGTAGCCACATCCACGGCCGCAAAAGAAAAGCGGCACGAGCACACCCTTTTAAATGGAGTAGGCGACCCACGCACGTTAGTCATAGATGAAACGAGTGCTGTTTCTGATGAAATACCTTACAGAGACGAGTATACGAGTATCTGGTGACTTAACCTACAAAACAATTTGCCTGAACAGAAGTACGCACTTTTATCTCTATCTGACCAGGAAAGGTTGCAACGTTAAACTCGCTGGGCGTAACCTCCTTGGTTTTAGCAGGGTTTAGCGAGAGTTGGGCCACAGTGCCATGAATTGGCGGCAGTGGAAGGTGGGAACTACACACAAAGTACAGACTTTAAGAGAGTGCGCGCGTCCCACTGTTTTAGTCCGGCCGTGTCATCTCTCGTTTAGTCCTTGGGTTGTCCGCTGGATGGCGGTACTTCTATATGGTGAACGAAAAGATGCGAGATGGCGGTACTTGGTGTGTTTACTAGATGAACGGACGGATGGACAGACGCACGGACGGACGGATGGAGAGGTAACAGATGCACGGACGATGCACGAATAGACGGTCGGACGGACGGATGGGCACATGAATGGACGGACGCATGGAAGAACGCCGTCATGGATGCACAGGTTAACGCACGGACGAACTCAAGGACGAACGGACGCACACGCATGGATGGATATACGAATGAACGCAGAGACATTCGGATGGACGCACAGACGAATGAACGGATGCACGGATGGTCGCAAAGACTGACGCACGAACGGATGCAAGCAAGAACGAACGGACGGACGGAAGCACTGACGGACTGACGGACGCTTCGCCCCACTCATCATAATGAACTCCGTAGATATGCTGTTATTTTTAAAGACGATAATCTTTTTTGGTGACCTTCGACAGAAAATTTTTGATCTGTCTGTCTGTCTGTCTGTCTGTCTGTCTGTCTGTCTGTCTGTCTGTCTGTCTGTCTGTCTGTCCGTCTGTCTGTCTGTTTCTCCGTGCTTACCAATACCTCAAACGGCATTAAATGGCCAACCCCATCCGCAGCGCCCACCAATATTGATCAAGGTTGAACGTTCGTTCTCAGCGATTTTCAGTTAAATATTAATTATTGCGCATATCTGAGGCACCATAACAATGTGTTCCTTTATACTAGAAAAGGAGCACACAAGTAATTCTAAGGATCGTAGTATAATGACGCTGCACTGACACTGCAACGCGATGCTGAAAAAGGTAAGTGCTTCCAACGCTTTCTTACTACAACATGGTTGTGGCACCTGCACCTGCCCATCGCTTTGCGTTCTACACCTTATCACCTCTGAGACAAGTGCACTTCTTTCTCCGCGGGCGTGCCCACCTTTCTTCGTTTTCGAACTGCCAGATGGCGCTCGTGTCCAACGTGCCTCGATGCACTCGTTCGTCTCCGCTACACGCCCGAGGCACTGACACAGCACCTCCATAATACCATCGACCAATTTTCTTGCGCAGAACATTAAATAAACGTTCTGTTCATTCTCTCCAGACGCATGACTATCGTCTTCCGACGACATATGCAGTGTAACATGCAGATTCAGGGCCTTTTTTTTGTTGCTGATTTGACTTAACGCTTTGTATTTACTCATGTCGATACTTTGGTGTGACGCCCAGTAGCTCCTTGAAACCACAACAGCCCGGGCTCAGCAAAAAAAAAAGAAGAAAAATAAGAGGAACAAAGGACACCTGAGAAAGCATATGGTCTATGTTACATGCTGGCCAACATGTCTGCAGTCGTGTACCTGCCCCACCGTGGATGTCTAGTGGCTAAGGTACTCGAGTGCTGACCTGCAAGTCACGGGATAGAATCCCGGCAATGACGGCTGGATTTTCGATGCAGGCGAAAATGTTGTAGCCCCGTGTGGCCGATTCGTGTGCACGCTGAAGAACCCCAGGTGGTCGAAATTCCGGAGCCCTGAAGTGCGGCATCTCGCATAATCATATGGTGGTTTTGGGACGTTAAACCGCACAGATTAATCAATCGTACTAGTGCCTATTGTTGTTTAGCGATTTATGAAGGGTGCAACGATTGCCACGGCATATTCAATATTTATTCTATCAGCATCCTAATGTTTGTGCTTTTTTTAAATAAAAACTCTACCACAAAAATAATTCATCCTGAACAATCGCACAATACCGCAGCCTTCTACTTGATGTGCTTCAGAGCATGCAAAATTTTCTTTTGAGTCGACTGATTTAACAGAAGAGCACCCCCTAAAGGAAGTGACGAAGCATGAACAAAAAGGTTACATAAGTGGACACTTACTTGCGTAAATTGTACGGTTCCTCGGTCCAATGAAATCATAGCCTTCATGATACTCAGCAGGCGCCTCAAGGGGCAGCCGAACGGTGCCGTAGTGCGGAGCCAGGTGGGCAACGTACAGGAACATAGGCTGCAGTGGCAATCAGTGCACTGCATCAAGTGCCCTTGGCTGGGTAGAAACAAAGTTAGTCGCGCAGGCGGCTTGTGATGAAAGTATCCTGTGACGCCAGAGTCTGTGCTAACATCGTTTTTTTTGTCCCTTAGATGAGGGTGTAGGGTTATATTATGACGATTCAGCTTTGAACTCTAGGATTTCTTCTTGGTTAAATCATTACTTGCGTCTGACTCACGTTTGTATTGACGTGCGTATACGTCTGTACGAATGCACCGCACCGCGTTCTCCTTGACGCAGTGTTGGAGCGGTGCCAGGTAGGTCAAATTGCAGGTGCGCGTTTACATCACTCTTTGCCTCACCCACAGCACGCTCGTCGCAGAGCCCGCAGCTCCATGTTACTCCAGCCGCTCTCAACACACCTCTTTCTCGCTTCAACCTGACACCGCCCGTAACGCTTAACCACACTTCAAGTACAAACACTTTAAGCTCGCTTATCTACGATAAAATCTACATAAAACCCAGCCTACCTCTCATGTATTTGCGTTTCAAAAAAAAAAACGCTTCATCTTGTAAACGCTACCCCGAGTTTCGCTTCAAACCGTTCTTGCAGCAATCGCGTCGACGCCTGTTTAAACCGTGTCAACGCCACGCACGACTGCCGCTTCGCATCCCATCAGGATTCCCTTCGAGGAGATGGTCCATAATTTATTTGTTATGTAAAAATGAGTAAATAATGATCATGTACTTGAACTTGATCAAGAGGTATGCGGGTCTCATCACTCTAAAAAAATTGGCATATCCCAGTACAGTGGGAATCACTGAGATGTGAAGCACGAATAAGGAAGCTTGATTTGTCACTTTAACATACGAACAACAATACGAGACGGAAGTTAGTGATGCCGTACGTGACTTTCATGTCATGATTATCACGTTTGAATGTGTCATTTACTTTCGTTATCTATCCACGTTTTCTGATAACGAATTTGGTTTATGTACACCTAGTGACACAGTTGCGAGCGTGCTAAGAGCGTAGCATATAGTAATGTTTTACATGACACGAATATCATGATCATCATGTTTGGATGTGTCACATACCTTCCTCGTCCATTCACGTCCCGTAACACCAATCTTGGTGTATGTGAAGCAAGCGAAGCGGCGGTGAGTGCACGTAACGGACACGAGCACCCACGCTGGGCGCAGCGACGCTACGCTAGCAAAGCGCGAGCACTCTATTGTCTGACACTAGGCGCGACCAGCGTCTGTCGGTGAGGCCCGGGGGCAAACGCCTCAAAATACGACATGCTGCATTTCGCGCCAACGACATTACCTAGACAGCACCACGTCTGCTTAGTTTCGCGTCGGAATGACGCCGGGCGTGCTCAAATGCACACGCGTCAAAGCAACGCACCGCAGCGTGCGCCTGCGAGTATATGCCAGACAGATCGGCACCTGGCGTGGCATCGCCAGCGTGACGCGACGAAAAAAACGCCGGTGTGCATGTGCGGTGGGTCACGTCGAAGAGTTTTGGCGCCTTGAGTGTGGCACGTAGTCATGTTGTTACATGACACGCATCTCATGTTTACCATGTTTGCACCAGTCACATACTTTCGCCATTCATTAACGTCACGTAGTACCCAATTTCGCTTATGTGAAGCTACCGAAACGGCAGTGAGCGCATGATGAGTGTGGCATGTATTCTTGTTGCTACATGACCCGCATGTTTTGATTATCGTGTTTGCAACAGTCACATACCTTCGCCATACATTCACGTCCTGTAATACCAAGTTTGATGAATGTGAAGCTAGCGAAGCGACCGTGAGTACATCATAAGTGCGGCTGTAGTCATGTTGTTACATGACACACGTTTCATAATTGTCATGTTTGCACCAGTCACATACCTTCGTCATTTATTCACGTCACGTAACTCCAAATTTGGTATATGTGAAGCTATCGAAACGACTGCGAGCGCACCATGAGGGTGGCGCGTAGTAATGAATAATGACTTACATGGCATGCATGTCATGATTTTCACGTTAGGGTCTGTCACTTGTGTTCGCCATGCAGACATGTCATACCATGCCAATTTTGCAACATGTTATGCGAACGAAACCACCGCTAGAGCAGCAAGACCTTGAAATATAAATTACGACATTCATGACATACTTGTCATGATACTCATGCTACGGCTAGTCAATTATGCTCGCTACACCTATTTGTTATGCCATACCAAGTTTGGTATTGATACCATTAACCAAACGGCCAGGAGAGCTGAGAGCTAAAAGTGGTAGGCGACTGAATAGATAGATAGATAGATAGATAGATAGATAGATAGATAGATAGATAGATAGATAGATAGATAGATAGATAGATAGATAGATAGATAGATAGATAGATAGATAGATAGATAGATAGATAGATAGATAGATAGATAGATAGATAGATAGATAGATAGATAGATAGATAGATATGCTCAAAGTCGCTGAAGCTCGCTAAGAAATGCTTAGCATTTCAAATGAACTATTTTCAGTGTCTTTCTTACTTTTCGGGCGAAATAAGGCATGCTACCTTAGTTCACAATAAATTCAATAAACATCAAAACATCCATTTGGTCAAGAGAAGCTAGCTTGCATCTGTATAGTTTTGCTTACGAACAAAGCGAAAAAAAAATCGACAGATCCCACGTACCTTGGAATCAACGTTATGCGAAGCATGCGGAGGGAAGGTGACCGTGTTGCAATCTTAAATGCGAAGAATTTATTAGCGAGAGAGAGAGAGAGAGAAATAATTGCCCGCAGCTTCCCTCGGGGGAACACTGAGGAGGATGCGGAGCATATAATTGGTTAACGGGGTGTTAAAGTGCGACTTACTTGGGTCGATGGCTAAATTGGTTAACGTGGTTGTGAAATGGGGTGTTAAATTGCGACTTACTTGGGTCGATGGCTAAATTGGTTAACGTGGTTGTAGGAGGGGGTGTTAAATGAGTGAACACGTACACACGTATGCGAAAGGGCGGCGCTGGTCGAAGGGACGTCGATCATTGTGTTTGTGGATTCGTTGGAATTCATTTCACCGCGACCTTGGACGTCGACGCGCCGTACAAACCAACCGACGAGCGGCAACTGAGCGAGCCAGCGCCGACCTTGAGTATATATGCAGCGCGACGGCGCATGTACTGTCAGCTGTTGAATGTTCTCGAAGCGCGACGCCACATGCGCGTCCACTGGAGAATCAGGAGAATTGTAGATGTCGAACGCGGTGTGTAGAGGAGGAAGGGTGCACAGATGGTGGAGGAGTGAAGCGCGCGCGGTGTGTAGAGGAGGAAGGGATGCACAGATGGTGGAAGAGTGGGCGACGGCGCGACGGCGCATGCGCGCGCGTCAGCTGTCGAATGTTCGAGAAGCGGTGCGGACGGCGCGGACGGCACGGACGGCGCACTACAAGGCACGAGTATAAGATGCTTCCGCATCTAAAACTTCATTTGCGCATAACGCGGAGTATTCCAAATGGTCGGGCTCCTATTCCAGGGCTCCGCTGGCCCTAGCCATCATCTCTACCCGTTGGACCAGCCAGCGCTGATCAACAATGGCCTTAAATGCAAAGAATTTATTAGCAAACTTCGGCGACTTTGAGCGTATTTATCTATCTATCTAGATGCCTACGACTTTTGGCTCTCCTGGCTTTTCGATAATGGTATCGATACCAAACTTGGTATGGCATAACATGGCTTTATGAAGAACATATTTGACTAATCATAACATGAAAATCATGATGTGTATGTTATAGACGTCATGATTTACATTTCATCGTTCTGCAGCTCTTGCGGCAATGTCGTTCACGTGACATGTTTTGAAACAAGTATAATATGACATGATTGCATGGCAAATACAAGCGGCAGACCCTAACATGAAATTCACGACATGCGTGTCATGCAATTTACATGTCACGCTCAGGATGTGCTCGCGGCCGTTCCGCTAGCGTTACATATACCAAAGTTGGTATTATGGGACGTGAATGAAGGACGAAGGTATGATACTAATGCAAACATTCTAAAACGGGCTCTCGCTGATCCAGCCCCGAAACGCATCGTATGGGCTCCTGGCCATCAGGGCCTACGAGGTAATGAGGCCGCTGACGCGGCCGCCCGAGCGCTTACCCACCGGGCTCCTCACCTTGGCTCTTATGACTCGGAGGCCAATACACCGCTGCTGCGGTTCAAAGAAATTCTCACCTATTATCGTGACACTCACCGTCTTTACCCGGCTCCTGCAAAGGGGCTGAGTAAGGCGGAAGAGCGAACTCTAAGGCGCCTGCAGACAGGTACTCTACTCTGTCCTGCAATCCTAAAGCATTTCGATGCGAACACAGATGGGCGGTGCCCACACTGTGGGGAGACGTGTGATATCTTCCACATGGTATGGGCATGTACGAAAAATCCCCACCTACCCCCTTCCCCTACCCCTTCCCGAGAGGCATGGGAGACTGCCCTCCTCAACTGCTCATCACTAGAGTCTCAACGGGCTCTGGTGAGACGGGCGCGAGTAGGGGCCTCGTCATGCGGTGTCCCGGACTAAGGACGCCGACCATGTAGCAGGGTCATGCTTTGGCCCCGTACCTCTCTCTTTTGTAATAAATGTTTTTCATCATCATCAATGCAAACATGATAAAAATCACATGCGTGTCATGTAACAACATGACTACGTGCTACGCTCATGATGTGCTCGCGGCGGTTTCGCTACCTTCACATGTACCGAACTCGGTATTACATGACGCGAACGGATGGCATAGGTAAACGACACATCCAAACATGATAATCACAATATGCGTGTCATGTAACAACATGAGTACATGCCACACTCATGCTGCGGTCGCGGCCGTTTCGCTAGCTTGACATATCGCAAGTTTTGTTTTATGTGACGCCAATGGATCTCGAAGGTATGCGACTGGGGAAACATGATTATCATGAGACGCGTGTAATGTGAGAACATCACTACATGCAACAGTCAAAGCACCCATAC